GAATCTAGCCTCCCTTCCTAGTCACAGCACACTCAAGGTGGCATCTGTCCCTTGTCTTCTGTCATGACCAATTCCTGGGAGTCTAAGATCTTTTGCGTTTCATGAAACTATTAAATGAGATAGAATTTGTTCTGACTGAGAGGATTAGTGCTGGTCCAAGAACTGTGCCCCACTCCCCTGCCTGGCCTTGGGACTTAAGCTCTTGCCTGATCAGACCAGTTCCTGCTTCCAGACTCTTCCATCAGCCCTTCTGATGGTGCACCACATTTATGCATGGGTATGGTAACAGGTAAGTCAAGGCTAAATGGTGTTGGTAACCATGGAGGCTTAGGCAAACAAGTGACTTGAGACCCAGTTTGTTTTACTCTTACTACTTTTAATATTAATGTGTTTTAAGAGACCATCCCCAATTTGATAACTCACAATGACAAAAGATGGTGTTGACACTGCTCTGCGCCTCTCCATGGCAACTGCTGCCACTATGGACACCACAGGGCAGGAAAGGGGAAAGACAAGCAAATGCTGGAGCTTACCTGGAGGATCTCCAATTTCAGGAGTGAAGGGATGAAATCAACTGTGAAACTCAGGGAGACTCTAAGGGAGTTGATTGGAAGGAAGATTCCCAAGCAGGGCCAGCCTCTGTGTAAGGCCACCACCCTGCTCCAATATCCATCTACACTCACAGGAACGTTCCTTTCGATTTGCTTTGCTGCCTCAAAGCAAATCTAAGATTATTTTGGATTAACGAGTTTCTTCTCTAAGCTTCATATATAACTCTGTATCAGTTAAAGGTCTACAAGCCATTAACCACAAGAGCTTGACTTTGTTCAGTGAAAAGTGTCCAACAAATTCCTTGTGGAAATCAGCTACAAGGAATGAAAGAGCTTGGACCAGGTGCATAGGAAGTGGATGAAATGCGGAAAGTAGGGAGCTTGAGGGTTATGGGAGGGGAAGTGTTTGAAGCAAAATGAGAACATGTTAGAGGGGCAGGAGAGGAGGTAACAGGGAACCCAGTAATCAGAAACAGAATGAGGTCAGCAACAGAGGAACAACTGCACAAAGGATGACTGTTCACCTCATGTACAGATATCCAATGGCCACTAGAAAAATGTCCATTATACTCTTGTAAAATAAGGGGAATGCTTGGCGCACACCTGTAATCCCAGTCACTTGGGAGGCTGAGGCAGGAGGGTCACAGGTTCAAAGCCAGCCTCAGCAACTCAGTGAGACCCTAAGCCACTAAGAGACCCTGTCTAAATAAAGCATAAAAACAGGCTGGGGATGTGGCTCAGTGGTTAAGCACCCCTGGGTTCAATCCCCAGTACCAAAAAAAGGGGGGAATTCTCCTGATGTTACATAGAAAGAAGTAAGAGGCATAAGAAAGAAACATCAGTGATCGACAAAAACCTCACCCAGTTAAATATCTTAACTAGAGCTGACCTCGGAGTCTTTCTCCTCTTCCTTCTCCTCCTCTCTCACACCCTGATTTCCCAGACACAGAACTTACAGTGAGTTTTACTCCTTCAGTATTTCAGCTACATGATACACAAAACAGCTTTTTATGGTCTAGCAGACTACCATATCCTTTAAAAAAATGCTATTCTAATGGTATAAAGTTGTATCTCACTTGCAATTTACATTTATTTGATTTCTATGAGTTTGAGTATTTCTTAATATGTTTCTTAACCACTTTTCCATGTGTGTATCCCATTTTTCTGTTGGAATCCTGTCCATTTCTTGTTGATTTATGGAGGTTAATTCTGTGTACCAGATACTCATCTCTTGTCAGTTTTAAATGTCACAAATATCTTCTCCAAGTATGCCATCAACCATTCTACGTGATTCATAAGGCAGAAGTTTTAAAAAAAAATTGTGAAATATTTTCCTGCATCTATTAAGATAATCACATGAAATTCCCTTTAGTAAATTAATTAGATGAATTACACGGATAGATGTTTATCATCGTAAACTATTCTTGCACTTCTGGGATGAACTGAGGCGTGATTCATGGCTTTACAGTATTTGCTGGATTTAATAGCTGTATTAATTTTCTAGGGCTGCCATAACAAAATACCACAGACTGGGTGGCTTAAACAACAGGAATTTATTTTCCTGTAGTTCTGGAAGGCAGAAGGCAAGATCAAAGTTTTGGCAAGGATCTGTTTCATCTGAGGCCTCTCTCCTTGGCTGAATGATGGCCATCTTGCCATTGTGTCCCCACATGGCCTTTTCCTGGAGTCTCTTTTCCTCTTCTTGAAGAAGACCAGCCAGAATAGGTTAGGACCCACCCCTTTGACTTCATTTAACTTTAATTGCCTTTTTAAAAGTACTATTTCCAAATATAGTTACATTCTGAGACATGTACAAATTTGGAGAGGACACGGTTCAGCCATCGGGGTACCTAATATTTTTTTTAAGTTTCTTGTTTATATTATCAAACAAATTTGGCTTCTGATTTTCTACATAAATGGGTTGAAATGTGGAAAGATTTCACTATTATCAGGAACTACTTGTATAAATTAGATTACGTGCTCCTTGAAATAGTGGTAGAATTTCCCAGTAAAAAACTCCTATGACCAGGGAGATTTTTGAATGTAGGGGGTAAAAGAGAATCTTTTATTAGCATTTCTGTTTCTTTAATATTTGTTGAACTATTCAAACTTTCTATTTCTTTTCCTTCTAATTGTGACATTTTAAATCTTTTGGGTTCTATACAGATTTCAACTTGTATTTCATAGTATCTATTTACCTTTTGACTTTCTTTCACACTTTTTTTAAAAAGTTCTTTTAATTTTCAGGGATTTCAATCATGGATTTTTTTTTAACCTTTATTTCACTTACTTATTTTTATGTGGTGCCGAGGATGGAACCCAGGGTCTCACACGGGCGAGGTGAGCGCTCTATCGCTGAGCCACAACCCCGGCCCTCTTTCACATTCATACCTTTCATTCAAGTGGAAGTGGCTTTGTATACAGTGTAAGCTGGGGCTCTAATTTTAGGTTTCTCCTTATCAAATGAGCCTACTTTCCCATCGTCATCTAGACAACCATCCATTTCTTCTTCAATGACTAACAGACTCTCTTTATTATGTATAAAATATCTAACTATACATGCAAAGGATTTTATTTTTATTTTATCTTTATCTCACTGTCTTTTTTCTAATTCAAATGTTTACAAAGCAGTAATACTTTTTTAACATACACATTTAATATCCCCAACAGTCCTGCAGGGCATTATCTGTTTTTTAAGTGACCAGACAGACTCAGAAAGATTATACTTTTGGTAAAGCTCACATAATCCTGCATGATACACCAAGACTTCAGACTCCAAATTAACTGGTCTTTTCCCAACTCCCGTACCACCTATTTAAGCAGCTGGTTTCTTGTACCTAATTTCATCTGCTCAAGTATTTGTGGGAACCTACTGTGGACCAGACACTATTCTGGGTTCTAGGTAACAGGAGAACACAAGCCGGATGAAGGTCTCTACCCTCATAGAGCTCCCATGGCAGACTTCAGTGGGCAGATCTGAACACAGAGATGGCAAATAAGAAACACATTTGAAAACAGCGACTATTCTTGTCCCCACTGGGTATCCATCCTTTCCAAGAGCTTGGTGCTTCAGTTTGTTTGAAGAATTCAAATAAGACCCTGGAAGTTCCTGGACTTTAATGTGCAAAGGGTGACTCGAAGTCTCCGAGTCAAACAAGGCACCCTGGAGTCATGAGACTATGTCCTTTGCTCTGCCAGAGACACCATTTTGGCCCTTTCCTCTCACACCTGAACTAAGTTAAGAACACACCTCTATTCCCAAACCCTACTGCTGTGATTCCACCTGGTTTGGGGAGGTCGAGATGTGGTTGGTGGAGATGGAGAGCAGCCATTTTCTACCATTGCTAAACCCATTACAGAGAGCTTTCTTCTCATTCTTAAATGTCTTGACAGTGAAGCTTAGAAATAAAGTCAAATTTATGTGATTCACCTAACTTCGTCGTAGTGATGATTCAATTTAAGGTTACTAAAAATTGACTACAGGATTGAATTAAAGGGTGCCCTAGTTCATCTCCCTGGAGATAAGAAGGGATCCTGAGAAGCAGATGGCAATATTCATTCTTTAATAGTCATTGAAGAGCTGGGTCCATGGGGGCCTGAACAAAAACAATATTCCCCAGCATTCCTTGTGACTCCGAAATTAATTTCTGGCCAATAGAATTTGGAATTTCTCAGTCAAGCCCTTAAGAGGGGACTGTCCTCCCCTTTCCCTTTGGCTGGCTAAAAGGGAACCTAATGGGGAATACCTTGGGCTATGGACATGAAAGAATCACCCTGAGGATGGCACAGTGGAGAACTGAGCGCCTGACTTGTTGTGGCCATGTAGAACAGAACCTCAGTTTGAGCTGGGCTTTAACACAATAGAGAAAATAGCCTCTGTTTGGTTTAAGTCACTTATCTACATGTTCACTAATGTCACCCAATGTCCAGCCACCCTCCCTGTTCTTCCCAACCTCCACCTTCAGACCTTTCTGCAGTGATTCAAATAACTATCCTTTTTGTCGTCCATGTCCTGCTAACAATGAGTATCAAGTAGGGAATATATCTTCCATTGAAGTCACTTCGTGTCAAACCCAAGGTATGGGCAGCCATATATTAAGAAGTCAGTTGACAAGCCATTAAGAATTTTGTAGTTTTTTTTTATTATTATTTTACTATTAAAATTTTTAAATCTTTAAATCGGTTAATCTTCAAGTAAAGACTAATCGTATATTCATCTTTATACATTATATACATTTGAGAAATAAATAGAGTTTTAAGTAGCATTAAAAAAAAAGACTCATATATACAAATAAGGCTTCAAGCCAAATGTATAAATACACAACCCACTGAGGATTCGGTCCCCAACTCTCCCCTTCCTGGAAACAGAAGTCAGAAGTAACCGGGACACAAGGCCAATAATACAAGTTTCACTTTGGCTAGAAAGCAGTTGCAGAAGTACACAGTGGATGGGGAGCACACTCTGAATTAAGGCTTTACTGGTTATGTCTTCAGAAGTTTGGCATCCAACAGTGACACAACTTTGGCACAGTGCAAATTTAAACAGTGTCCTTTAAAAAAAAAAAAAATCTAAGTACAAAGAAAATTGCTGTCCCACCTCCACCTGATAGCACACCTCCTCCCAAATAATTCTCACCCATAAAAAACCCAACCTCTTGGCACAGGTTTCTCCTGGTTATATGTTAATAAAAGAGTTTGGGGTTTTATGGATGGCTCCGGAAGGATTCCATGTTTGTCACATCTGGGGCATATTGGCAGGAATTGGCTATAGAGAGCTCCATGAAGTTTCGGAGATGAGTGAACCATGAACTTTGCCTCCAGGAAATCTGGATCCTTGGCCCAGCTCCACCACCAGCTTGGTATGTAATCCCAGGCATGTAGCTGAATCTTAGTAAGCCCTGATTTTATAAAATAAGGTTAATAATAGCTGCCTGCTCACCTTGCTCCAGGTGACACACATGCAAATGGTTTGAACAGTATAAAAGGGTTGCTCATCTATCATGTTTCTTCATTCAAATCAAGATCCAGAACTGAAGGCTTTTCCAAGCTCAATAGCATAAATGCATTGGTGTGAAAGCAAGATATTTCAAGAAGGAAAGCACTGTGTTAACTCTTAGCTCTGCTGACAGGGGATACTTTCTATAACATAGGGTTGGTTCATTTTTGACTTTTTGCTGTCCTGGGAATCTAACCCAGGGCCTTGTATGTGCTAGGCAAGCACTCGACATGCATCCTCAGCCCCAGGTTTCTGAATAAACAGTATGTAGAGCATATGTAACATCTAATAGATCCCAACCCTGTCTAGCAATTGGCCATGTGGTCCCTGTGTGTATGATAAACAGCTAGTGATTGAATTGTCACTCTTGGAGGAAATGGCACCTGTTAACTAAAAAGAAATAGAAAGGAACCACTTAAAGCCTCAGTCCCCAACTCTTACAGCTTGTAGCCCACCCCATTCCCCTCCTGTCTTTTACCACATGGAATCCCATGGGTCACTAAACTGGAAGGGATTCTAGTAAACACTAACCCCATGAGCTTCCAAAGAGAAAGGCTGAGTAACATGTCTACTGCCACGAGCTAATTGAATGCCCAATAAGCACTTGTTCAATCAAGAGATGAACCATGGAAACAGGAGAGAGCGGATGATGTGTGCTTCAGAGGGTGAGCAAGGAGCTGGACGGAAGCTCTAAGATACAACCACTATTGACCAGTGCAGCCCGTGGGAACTCCCACAGCAGGGCCTCAGCCCCAGGCGAGATCTAAGGTGCCCTCTTTGGGCCAGTGAGGTAAGAGGACTGCCATCCTGACATGAGTCAGCTCTGGAGGAAAAGACCTCTCACTAAGTCCCAAGTCAGGCCAAGCACAGCCACTGCCCAGCCAGCCTTCTGGGGTCAGGCAAAGCCTGGGTTCACCCAGCCACTGGGAGATTGCTGGGTGTGCTCGAGGGCCCCGGGAATTCTGCTGCTCCCACACAGGTCTGGCCTTGGCTCCCAGGGACATCAATGGAGGTTTGGAGTTAGACTTCATCTAGAGCGGCAACTGGTGCTTCAGCAGAGCAGTCTCCTCATGCAGCAAGTGGCAACCCTCACAGGCAACAGAGGTGGGCCCAGGGGCTCCAAGGTCAAGTCCAAGAGGAGTCCTTCACTGGGTGGGTCCTCCGCAGTAACTTTGCTCCATGTGCACGGACGGCTGGACGGCGGGGTTGGTTTACGCGTGCGGGCAACACGTCCAGGCACCCTTAGACCAGCTCCATGGTTGGACTGAAAAGAATCATGCAAGTCCAGCGTTCGTTAGCTCGCTCACCAGCACCTGGCAGCCCTGGACAGGGCTGTGCTCCGACCCCACTTCTGACACCCTGGGCAACTATTTTGCTCAATTTCCTTTCTGAGGAGCAGACAAGATCCTGACGGCTTCTTTCTCCTTCCTGCCCCCAAAGCTACAGCTTCACTCTGAGAAATACCCGAGGGGAGCCTCTCTGGGACCTTAGTTGCGTATATCACAATCCATGCATTCACATGTTTAGCACAGCAGGTGAACCCAAGCCCACACAGATAGGAGAACTATCAAAGCGCCCTCTTTGCCTCTGTCTAGAAACATAAGAAACTGTAATAAGGCAACAAAGAGGCAAGGCGGAGTCAAAGGCCCCAATTCTAGTTTCAGCTACAGGAATGTGAACCACTCCGAACCTCTGTCTTTTAATCAGTGAGCAGGTGTGTGATGTCCATGTCAAGAGGAAGAATACTGACAGTGTTGCATATGTCTAGGGATTCCACAACTTCCTAGTGTCCATTTATTCCTTGAGATCCTCCTGCTTCCTGTTCCTTGCAGGGGAGGGGAAAGGGCAACTTATTTTCTAAAAGGAGTGTAGGTAAAAGGGTAAGGCAGGTCATGGCAATTTTAACCTTTAGAAGTTCTGGAGCAGAGAAGAATAACATATTTTAACCCTCATCATAAGAATAGTAGTCTTCCCGGGTGTGGCGTGTGGCCAATGAACCAGGCTGTTCAGGGGATCCATGAAGTTAATATATGAGGAAGCATTTTGAAAGGTATAAATTTGAACATAAAAAGAATTGAAATCATAATTATAATGGAAAATCATATGAGCCCTCACTAGATGGAGTCCCTTAATTAGAGAGGCAGTCATTAGACCCCACACATCCTGTGATCACTGAGCCTGAGGTCCTGTTGATGCTCCTAAACTGGAGACAGAGCAGCTGGAGATGCAGCCCAGCCTTCAGGACTGGCAGACAGTTAATCACAGGGGACCCCCCAAGTATGCTTGATAATTAGTATCCAGACCAAGATGAGGTGATTCGTCTGAGCAGATAGAACCTTCACGCTCAAGAGCACAAACTTTAGAGGAGAAGGACCTGCTCCAAGTCCTCCTTGTGCCATCACTGGCTGGGGGAGCTTAGGAGAGTGACTTCATCTCCCTGAGCCTCGGTCTCCTCATCTGCACCCAGGGATAGCAACACCTGCCTTTTGGGGTTGATGATAAAAGCAAATGATTGTGTAAGTCTCTGGATGCTGAGTGAGCATGTGCTAAGTGCTCAATGTAGGCATGAACACATGGTCTCCCCTCGTCCTCAGCAAGCATTTAGGCTCAGAAGGCATGTGGCTGGTTTCCCTGGAGAAGTCCACTGCCTCACACCTTGACCTGGGCCTTCCTCAGCCTGAAATTATCCTGGGATTCCAGGATAGCACAGTGGGACACTGAAGCCAAACAAGCTGTCCACTGACTCAGCTCCACACACGAGCATTCCTGATTCTCAGAGGGGTGAATCAGGCCCACTAATATCTACCCACACCAGACTGGGTTCCAGAAAACCTAAAAAGCGAAATATGCTTTGTACTTCTCCTCTCCCTCCCAGGCTTCTCCCACTCCAACCTGATTCCAGAAGAAGCTCTGAAGACTGGGTCTTCCCATAGCCCTGGTCACTACGGAGGAGATTTCCATCTAAAATGAGGGGCATGGACACCAACCCCAGGGAATTCACAACTGAAAAAGCCTGATCCCAACAGGGCCACAGGCAATGAGCATCTTCAAGGGGAGGCAGACCAAGAGGCAGAGGGACCTTCGCACCCTCTGACAACCTTTGTTTTCCACTGATTTATCATCTACGTCCTTCCAGCAGGAGGTTGGCTTCATAAGGAAGGGGTTCTTGTTGGTTTGCTCATTCATGGCCCAAGTGCCCCGGCCCATGCCCAGCAGGTACAGGTGATCAGAACACAGAGAGAGTCCTGGTTACCTGGTTTCATTTTTCATTCTCCAGCCATCCCGACACTTGTGAAACCAGAGCTCTTGGCCAGGGGATATGCTGGTGTTCTCAGGGTCTTCGGTGCAAAATGTCAGCCTAAAAAATAAAATAATAATAATAATAGAAAAAAGAAACCACTGACATGGCCAAAGCTCTACGGGGATGCAGACCATACCCTCGGGATTCCAGGCAATTGGAGGCGGGAAAGGGAAGTTTTCATCATGCCGTGCCAATGCCAGAGCTTCAGAACAGCCATGGCCACGGCGACTGCTGGACTCCAAACTGTGTCTTAGTTTGAAGGCTTCTAGGATCCAGCTTCACACCTTCTCCCCTACCTACCCCAAACCCTGCCTGCCATCAAGGCCATTGCCTCTTGGAAGCCCCATGAACCTCATCCTCTCTGGACCTCTCAACTTAGTAAAAAGGCATATTCTATCTAGATGTTGTTTTTACAATTGTCATTACTTCTTATGATGGGCAGTTAAAAGTGAATGTGTCGTTTTATTTTACAGTATTCTACACTGCCTGAAACTGCTGTTGGTTCCTATATCTACAGTCAACTTCTCCACTAGACTGTGAACTCCTTGAATGGAAGAATTCCAGGTGCCTCTAAGACAGCGCTCCATAAATACACATTGGCAAGCATAACCGGAACCCAGCGGCAAGTCAAAGTGTACAATTCAGCAAATAGGCAGCCAAGATCACAAGAAATGGCCAGGGGCCTCGTAACCATTTCATGATAACCTAAGGCTATCCATGTAGCCTCCCTGGTGTTTGACCAGCAAGACTGCATAATCAAAAATGTGTGAGGAACTTGACCCTGCTGCTGAGGCAGGACAAGAATCACATTTAGAAGGGTTTAAAAACTTTTCCCAGGAATCCCTAAGGATGGCTTGCATCACTCACAGTCTGGAAATGCAAATGAATACCTTAGGGAACCGATGAGAATGGCAAGAATGTCCCACCAAAATGGGGGTGAGAAGGAAGGAAAAGGAGAACTATTACTATGTGGCTAAGATGGATAACTCCTTCAACCACTTTGGACAGAGGATAATAACAGCTGATTATATTGGAGGCTGCATATATGAGAACTCAGCAATTCTATTTTTTAGTAAGCTGGCCACAAAGAAGCCCCACACAGAGGTGCAAAGAAAATGCACCCCAAGACATTCATCTCAGCACTATTTGTAATTACAAAAAAAAAAAAAAAAAGGTAAAAGTTTAAGTATTCGGTGTTTGTACAATGATGACTTATAAGAATTAAATCTCAATGTATTGGGTTAATTTCATAGACAAAGTTTCAATGAAAAAAGCAACTTGTAGAGCTGGGATATAGCTCAGTGGCAGAGCATTTGCCTAGCCATATATTGTTTAAGGATATAAACAAAAATACTAATGGCATAAAAATATGAAATAAGGAAACACTACCATTAGTTAATGTTGAAACATTGTTTATATTGGTTTGAAAGAAGGGGAGGAATGAGACCAGGAAAGAGCACAATGGGACTTCAACTGTATCTATAATGTCTTACTTTCAAAACCTTCTATCTGAAACCAATAAGGAAAACTGCTTACATTTGTTAAGTCTCAATGGGGATTTAATGGGTGATTATTATATGTGAAATAGTTTGTAAAAGTAATCATCTTGCTGCTACCACACCCACAGGCATAGGCTGTACTTAGAAGAGCCTAGAGAAGTTTAAAAAAAAAAAAAAAAGACACAGTATTATCTAGTTCACTAGCTTGGTACTAACAGTCTCCCCCATCTGAGCCCCCAGACCAGACGTTCCCAGAGGAAGGATCCAAAGCTCCAATTCAGCCCATCTGCTGCTATGCTGGGATGCAGGTGGATGGACGCAAAGAAGACGTGGGAAGAATTGAAATGAAGAAAATGCCAGGAGAGGGACCGAGAGGGTGGAACTGCTCCCCCCCACCCTGAGGCTGGCAGTGACCACTGCAGAGGTTGGGGGGAAGGACGTGGTGAAGAAAACCCTCCTCTCTTGACAAAGGTCTCCCAGGCTCTGCTGGCTTTGAGCCCTCTTCCACTTCTGTTTAGATAGAAGCCTGCTCAGAGAGTTGGGGCACAGTATCAGAAGTTGACATATAAAGGTCTGGGTCTTTCATGCAAGGCTCAGGGTTCCAAGAAGTGGAGAAGTGCCAGCTGGCATGGCACAGAGGATTCTTTGTTCCTTGAAGGTTGAACTCTCGCCCTACATCCCCCACTCAGACCCTCTGGAGAAGAGAGAGCATCATGCTCTGAAAACAAGGTGCTGTGGGAAACCAGGTCCTCTCACACCGACCTCCTCGGTGGGACATGCTGTTCAGTTAGCCCTGCAGTGAACAGATCGACAAGGCAGCACCCCTGAAGACCCCTGCCCAGAGGAACCCTCCTTCCTCCAGGCTGACACTGGGCTTGGAAAACAGAAAAAGAGCTGAATTCCAGCCCCTCTTTCCTAGTCCTCCCAGCCAAGAGCCTGTGATCAGAGCATAAGATCCGAGCCTTCTGCTCACCACTGACATGGGGCAGAAGAAGGAGCAGGAGAACTTACTTCCGCTGGGTCTCCCCAGACTTGACTCGGATGCGCCGGATATGCAGCTCCCACTTGGTGTTGCTGGGTTGAGACAGGTAGCTGCGGAGCTCCTTCCACAGGTTGTACCAGGACTGTGACGTCCCCTCCCAGGTGAGTTTGATCTTCAAGAGGTCACCCAAGTCCTCCTCAGTGTAGACCAGAAAAGTATTGGTGGCATTCAGCCCGATCTGCTCCACTCTACAAAGTGAGAGAGAAGCTTGTCTCACTCCCTGACACCTGAAAAACTGCCTCACTGTGCCAGGTGACACAGTGGCAGCACCTCCCCCACAAGGACTGGAGAGAAGTAGAAGTAAAGTCCCTCCCATGGGACCAAGGTGAAAGCTCAGCGGTGTTCCACAGTGACAGAGAAAGAACTTGGTCCACAGCATCTGATTTCTTATTAAAACAATTTCTATGTGTGATGTGTCAAAATGCATTCTACTGTCACTATAACTAATTAGAATAAAATTTTTAAATTAAAAAAAATATATATGAGCATCTCTCTGTTCATGCTACTATTTCCTGGGGAGACGGGACCAAGAAAGCAGCAATGAGAAGGCACAGGAAGTCACATCCCCACACAACACTGTGCTGTTCCTCTCTGCTCATGGGTATCTGTCTCCCTCTCAGCTCCTAGCCCCTTCCTGCTTGTCCCTTTCATTGAACACTCAGTGTGGCTTGCCCTGGCCCCAGCTGTGTGTCAGTGTGTGTGCATACTAGACCCTGAGCCCTGAGCAGTGAGTTCCTTTGATGATGTTGCAGGACACGTTGTCCCTGTGGGTCCTCAACAAATACGAACAGACGGTCATGTGCCGCTCCCACAGCCGATCATTTAAAAGGTACAGAAATGACGTTCACCAAGTTCCAGATTCCCTAAAGCCTCAGGTGCCAGGCGTTGCCTGAAATGAAACAGCAGTTCTGCCCAGCTGATCCAGCACTTTCTCACGCCCCTGATTCATCATAGGAGGTTCCCTCCCAGAGTGTTCTGAGTCAGGGTTAGTGGAGAGAACACCACAGGGAAAGTGGACTGGGGACGGCTGGATCCAGCCAGCTCCTTCCCCAGGCAATCCAACGTCACTCCTGCACTTGTTCAAAAGCTCCCTTCCCCTCTCCGTGTGAGCCAGCTTGTTCTGTATCCTGAGCCAAAGTTGCAAAAGGAAACTCAGGACTTACATTTCCAAAGGCAGAATCTGAGAGTCTGCATTGGTGCCATAGAGGGTAACATAAAAGGTGGGCTCGATCTCTCCTCTGTTCTTGTAACTGAAGATGTGGATTTTCATCTGGTAATGGTAAACTGTAGAGACAGCAAATCAGAGATGCTGGTGAGCCTTGCTTGTCATCTCAGGTACCCTCACCCACACCAACTCACCCAGCACCCTAGATTTTAGGGATTAACATCTTTTTAGTGCAATCCGGCCTCCAGCCTCCCTTTAGTCTTATTCTGTCCAAAGACATAAGAAGAGGTCACCACTAAGGAAGAGCCCTGAATTTAGGGATTAGGAGATGTTTCGGGGATTTAGGCCTAGATAGCTTCTAACTGTGTGACCCTGGACTAAGGATTAAGGTATTAACCTCTCAGAGCCTCCATATGCAACTTTCTCATGTGTAGAACAATACCCACAAAACACTATAGTTCTATAGCACTCTATAAAAATCATTTGTAATCCTCCGTTCATCCTAGTTCAGTTTTGTTGCAATCAAATGAGAAATCAAATATGAAATGGCTTTGAAAAGTTTAATGCAAGACAGAAATTTCAGATATTGATATTATGATCATAGTGTTATTCACAGCACAAAAGAACATCTCACCATTAATTTTTGAAGAATAATTTTCTTAGGACATGCCCAATGGGATCTGATTTGCAATAATTTGATATAATTATTATATATGATTATAAATATATTGGCAAACAAAATATTAAGGAGGAAAAAAGCCAAATACAGTGGTGTACACCTATAATCCCAGCAAATGGAAAAGGAACCTTAGAGAATGCCTTTTCATTAGTTTCATGAGAAGGCATAACAGAAGAAAAAGAAGTAAATGGAGCCAGGTGCAGTGGTGCACGCCTGTAATCCCAGGGGCTCAGGAGGCTGAGACAGGAGGATCATGAATTCAAAGCCAGCCTCAGCAAAAGCAAGGCACTAAGCAATTCAGTGAGACCCTGTCTCTAAATAAAATACAAAAAAGAGCTGGAGGTGTGGCTCAGTGGTTAAGTTCCCCGTGTTCAATCCCTGGTACCAAAAAAAAAAAAAGAGAGAGAGAGAGAGAGAAAGAGAGAGAGAAAGACTAAGGGCCACTTTGGGGCCCGAAGGTTACCTCTGAAGGGCATGCCTGCCCGTGTTTTTAGGTACATTTTGCTGTTCCTCTTGTTTCGCATTTTCTTAACATTATAACCAATGCTATTGCAACGATTTTTCCGGCAGCTGAGACAGATCCCCTTTTTGAAGCGGTTGGAGTCTGTACACTGGAAAGCGAAGCTCGGCTTGTCCTGATTCACGAGGGAATCCACAAAGAGGTGTACCGCTCGCTCGTGCTCACATTTCATCACCTCCGTGATGGCTGGGGGGAAAAGACAGACCATGCAGGACAGGCCACTTCTCCATGGTGACCCACTCCATCTATAATCACTATATACTCTCTCAGTGAGAGCTATGTTTATTATGTTTATTAGTCTTTTCATTTGTGTAATTCTTTTTTTAATTAAATAATTAAGTTTTTATTCCAATTTGTTATATGTTCATTTGTGTAATTCTTAATACGGGCCCAGTGATGCGCTCGGCTCCTATGAAGATATAAAAGTATTGACGACTGTTCTGAACTCCCAATCATTCACTCCCTTGGTAAGAATACAGCACCAATAAGACAGAGAGAAATAGACAGTTCATATAATAAGTGCTAAATACAGTGATGCAGACCAGCTGAGGAAAGGGAGTTACTAAATGCTACCAGAGTTGTATGGTCACAAAACTGAGGAAGGGCATCAAATGCTACACATCATCTAGTCCAGGGATCAGCAAAATATGGCTGGCCAGCTGGCTGGTCTTGTAATTAAAGTTTTATTGGAGCATAACCCCATTTGTTGGTGTATGTATTATTTGATTTTAGTCAAAAGGTGAAGAAGCAATGGTGTATGTATTCTCTATGGCTGTTTCTGTGCTACCACCAGAGTGGATTAGTTGAAACAGAAACTGTATGGCCTACAAGGCTACAAATAGTTACTAGTCAACCTTTAAGAAAATGCCCACACCATTCAACTACAGATTATAATTCAAAGGCCCATATGCAGAACATAGTGGTGTACACCTGTAATCTCAGCAGCTCATGAGGCTGAGGCAAGAGAATCAAGAATTTGAGGCCAGCCTCAGCAACTTAGTGAAGCCCTAAACAACTTAGTGAGACCCTGGACCCTGTCTCAAGATAGAAAGGGCTGGGGATGTGGCTCAGTGGTAAAGCATCCCTCCGTTCAGTCCACAGGACCAAAAAAAAAAGCCCATAAATGTAAGATAATAATTTGCTCAGGTTCATACAGACAATTGGTTGCAAAGTTAAGAGTATAATTTGAATTTTCTGGTCTATAATATCATTGTTCTTTGCAACCAGAGGCTGAAGTCAACAAGTAATTGGTTGAAATAATTCCTGTAATCTTAAGAAAAATCTGGCAATGCTACCTCAGCCCCTTTATCACTGGCACCACTAATTTAAGAAATGCCATCATCCCAAAGCTGGGACAGAGGCTTTCAGCCACTCAGGGCTACTTAGACATTAACCACATTGGGAGCATGGAACAGCCTTAAGACCAAGTGAGAGAGTGGGACCTCCAAAGCACAATGTCTCAGAGTGCAGACAGCCAAGTGGAGTCAAGACTTGGGAAATGCTGCCAGCGTCCAGGGCAATGAGAGTATGGGAATCCCAAAGAGAGATGGGTCACTGGGCCACACAGCAGTTTCAGCAGCAAATTGACTTCAGCCCAAGTCTGCTGAAAATAGTTTCAGGCATTCAGAGGATAAATTGTAAGAGAACAAGAAAAACTTCTTGATTTGGCTTCTTTAAAATGTTACCAAAGCTTAAAATATAGTGTAGCCACACTACAGAATATCATACAGCCTAAAAACAATAAGATTAATAAATGTACTTTCTCTGATGTTGCAAAATGTTCATCATATATTACAACAGACCAAAGAAAGTTGCAGAACAAAGTGATTTGGGAAAAATTAGAAGAACATACATAAATTTGCAAAGAAAACAGCCTGAAACAACACACACAAATATCCATGCTGGACACCCTTGAAGAGAAAATATAAGAAGGCATGGGGGGGGTTATATTTTTTGCTTAATGCTATTCTATATTGCTTGATTTTTTCTAATAAATATGTGTGTGTTACTTTTGTCATAAAAAGAAATTAATCAATAACACCTGTGGCCTGGAAACACAAGAAAGCAAATGGATGCTATTAACAGGCACACAGTAGGACTCAAAACCTGAAACACAACACTGGGGCCACTGTGGGAGGAGTGAGAATAATAAAATGACTTGTGTGGGAGCACTGACAGCTCTGGCTGATTTGGAAGGAGTTTGGATAAACTGAGTCAAACACAAAGCAGACGATAAGAAACTCACTTCCATATGCAATTGATCCCAAGACATCATTGAATCCACAGCCCGGTTGAAAGTCACCCCCGTTGGGGTAGATGTCAATGTGGCCCACAGGCATCTGAATCCCAATGCTCAAGCCAAAGGTTCCTGTGTGAGTGTGCAGAACATCCACAAAGTCCGCATCATCAGGGGAGAGCCTCTTGTTGATGTCCACCCCTTCAAACAAGGGCCCAGCAGGATCCAGCCCTGCAGCAGGAGAAGTCAAGAGAGATGACATCAGGTGAACGAGGTCAACAAGGCCTGAGTTTGAGTAGAATTCCACTCTGCAGAAGGAAGGTGCCCTCTGCACCATGAATCCCGACAGGGAAGCAGAGAATGAAATCAGGAACCCGTTTTCATATGCGGTTGACCCAAGACATTGCCATGGAGATTGCATCCTGTGAATGGAGAGCTGACACTGCCTTCTGAAGCCTCCTTGTGACCTGATGCCTTTGCAGAACCAGGAGACTAGCTACAAGGTCCACACGGCCACCAGCTCTGAGGAACCGTGGGTGGTCAGAACAAGAGCACTTCTTGAAAGAACCTGGGCTGCCTCCGTCTCGGCCATTCAGTCCAGTCATCTGCCACTGAGCCTTCCACGGCCCTAATTTCAGCAGAATTTTTACAAAACAACTAAGTGACGACATCCTTCTGGAAGATTCAGTCTCTCTCAAAGGAGCTATTTATATTTGGACTTACTCTTCCCTTTCCTTTAGTTATGAATCAGGCCCAGGGATGGGATGGTAAGAAAGGGGATACCTTCAATACCCCTAAAACACTGAGGATGGAATCCATACACCATGCCTCCAGAATTCCTCTGTTTAGCAGCTACAATGAGAAAACCCTTTGTGTTGAGTCAGCAAGAAGCCCTGCATAGGGCCCTGGTCCTCACATCTGAGAATGCACCAAGAGGACTGGGGAGCTTGTTAAAAATTTGGGGTGTACCATGTAGCTATAAAATTAAAAAAAAACTCACCCTCTGGAAGAATGGGAAAGTAAATAGTTATCTGTATGTAGATGTATTAGGAAAATAAGTGAGGAAGGAAACTTGTAATAGCAAAAGAATTGACGCCATCGTTTAATTCTTGAATTATGTGAGTGTAAAACCATTCAAAAAAAAAAGAAAGAACTTGCAAAGCATAAAAAGCAGATTTCCAACTCCCTGACTTCTAGAGATTTTAACAGGTAGGTCTGGCACAAAATCCAGAAATGTGGATTGATTTCCCCAGGTGATACCAAAAGCCAGTGGTCTGTAGACCAGTTATTGAAAAACATCTCTGTGCTTCAGTATTATCTATGAAATAGAAGCTGAATGCCTTTATTCATACTGTTCATGTGAGATCTTAAGAGATTAAGTACTTGTCGAAAATAGCCACATTTGCGAAGTACAAGTAATTATGGGAACTGGATTCATCCTTACCAGAAAGGCTCTTTGCCCTACAGACACACAGAGGGGACCTGGAGAACGTTAGGACATGTGAGGTGCAGCAGACAGAAGGCTCTGATCAGTCTAGAACAGTGTTTTGCCCTCTGAGTGATTTTGCCCCCAAGGGGACATTCGATAATGTCTGGGGACATTCTGGTTTGTCATAATTGTAAGAAGGAAAACTACTAGCATCTAGTTGGGAAAGGCCAGGGATCAGCTAAACATCCTACAATGCACAAGACAATGCCCCAGACACACCGCAAAGCCCTGGCTAGCCTCACCTGTCAACAGTGTCTTGGCTAGTCTAGAAGCTCCAAGGCCAGGAGGAGATGTGACCAAGAATTCTGCCCTGAAAGGAGGAGACGGGTAACAGAACCAGATTCATCGGACCCCAGGACAAAGAACCAGGGAGCACATGGGAAGCTGGAGAGTGTCATCTCAGGATAAACAAAATGCAAAGATGTCTAGAGTGAGCAGATGACTTGTAGGACTCACTACTCGTGAGAACTAGTTGAGGCTGAAACTAAAGAACTTCCAGAAGAAGTTTAGATGATCTAATATTTGACCAAGGCAGAAAGGAAGCCCAGGATGTTTAGGGGCTCATCTCTAACCCAGAACCCAAAAGAAAGATAGCTACAAAAGCAGGCTTCTTCCAGGATAGACCACAATGACCCATTTTAGAGACGGGGAAGGACTACAGTACTGACGTTAAGGGGCCTCTTCCTGCTTCTTGCCATGTGCAGTAGTGGGAAAGGGAAAAGAGAGAGAGAGAGAGAGAGAGAGAGAGAGAGAGAAAACATTCTGCTTTGCAAACCAATATAAGAGAGGTTCTTTGCTTGGTGTGAACAAAGGTCCCCACCAGACAGGCAGTACCATGGAAACCAAGCTGCGCTGGAGGAATGCAGGCAGCTGACAGGGCCCCACAGGCCAGCCAGCAGGCAGGCGGGGCCTTCACCTACCCAGACTGGGCCGGCCTCCAGCCTCCGTGCTTGGAACTGTCTCTGACACACAATTATGGCCCACAGACTTGGGGTGGAGATAGTGATACAATCTACTTTTTAAACTAGTAATGGGAGGAAGAACTTACACCCTGCAAAAAAAAAAAAAAAAAAGGAAGATAGAGGACCTCACGTCTTCCAATCAGTTGTAGAATCCTCCAAACCAGCAAATGGAAAATAAACACACACACACAGGAAATGCCTGAGGGCTATGCATTCTGGCCTTGCAGGGTTGAGCTGCTGTTCTTCAACAGCTATCTTATCTCTACCTCCAGAAGAAAGGCAGGATTTCTTCTGCTTAGGTGTGGGTTCTGTAATCTGGCTTTGAATCAGAGTTCTGCTACTCTTAGGGTATTGGGCCTGTTATTTTATCACTGAGTCCCACGGTACCCATCTGTAAAATGTGCAGGGCTGCTATGTAATTTAGAGAGAGCAGGAGGTACCTCACCACTCACCTCTCCAGTAATTATGTTAGAGTACTTGACATCAGGCAGCATCAGTACTTGACATCTGCCTAGAGTCCACCCCGAGTGAACGTTTCATTCATATTTCTTACATTAAGCCCTCTACTAGCTGAGGGGAGAGATGGGGAGACAGCCTCCTCCATCAGACATGCACAGCAGTGTAAAGCAGTGAGCTAAATACCCTCAGAGGTGCTGCTGGCAGCTTAATAGGGGCTGGAATCATGGGCTCCGCTCAGGACACCCAGCTCCACACAGCACTGATCAGCATTCTGTAGGCTCCCTGGCCAGCCACAGCGAGAAGCCCTCCCAACAACTGCCACCCAAACAAGCTGGGGAGAGAACTGGAAAGCCCCTCATGATAGTCCCATCTCATTTCAGGTTTAAAAGCAGGGAAAGACCAGATCTGCAGTTTGTCCCTGTTGCCAGTGACACTCTGGGCCTTGACTCTGAGGGGGCCCGAGTGCTGCAGAGTGAATCCAGAGGGTCTACCCCTAGAACGTATCACCTCTGGTTCAGGTAGAACCCAGAGTGGCCTCAGGTGGAGCCGTTCTGCACCCGCAGTGGGTGAATGAGCAGCCAGGAGCGGCCACACTCCCACAGTTCACTTTGGACAGCTCAAGCCCCACCTTCTTAGAAATAAAAAATAAAGCTACCAAGCTATGCTAAATGGAATCACTGGATCTAAATGAATGTCTTTTGATATGATTTATACCTGTGCATATATTAGACTTACACCCAGAGACGGTAATGGAGACAGTCCCATGAAGCCTCACAAATATATTTTTTAAAAAACTACTCTACCAGCTTATTGCCAAAATCTGAAATCCTGTCTTTACTAAATCATTCTTTATCTAAGAGTCCTGTTTCGTTTGGGTTTTCTTTCTTTTCTTTCCTTTTTTCTTCTTTCTTTCTTCCTCCATGTTTTCCCATTCGTAACACCCACCAGGCGCAGGGCCTGGACTGAGGCCGACATGGGATAGGCTTACTCTGCCTCCCCTTTTTCTATATGGTCAGAGTAAGAACAGAACCTGTGGTAAGCATCAATCAGGAGGGCCTAAATCCTGTTTTAAAATAAAAACACTACAGGGGAAAAAAATTGACCCATCCTTTCTTCTAGGTTACTAGCTGCTATGGTCTGTAACTTGATCCCAAAACACATATATGTTAATGGTATTTGGAAGGAAGGCTTTTGGGAAGTAATTAGGCTTAGATTAGATGAGGACATCGGAGTGGGGTCCCCATGAGGACATTAGTGGTTTTCTAAAAGAGAGAGTCAAGCTAGCACAATTGTTCTGTCTGGCTATGGGATGTCCTCCACCGTGTTATCATGCAGTAGCAAGGCCCTCCCAGATGCCAGAAGCTAAATAAACTTCTACACTTTAAAAATTACCCAGTCTGGGCTCCTCAGTTACACCAACGAAAAAAAGAGCCTAAAAGGGCATTCTTGGTACTTGCAGGTGAGGGAGAAGCTAGGTACAAATACAGGTAAAAGTAGGTTGAAAGGAGGGGAGAAAGTCAGGGCAACAAATTTACCACTAATTTTAGTGTGAAGGAACTTCTAGGGCCCAAAGATGGAAAAGAATCTTTCACACTTTTCACAATCATTAAACGATTCTCACAGGGGAAGTTCGCTAAGACTCAATTTTACAGATAGTAAGCTCAATTTTCAATTGACCAACTGGTATCAATGTCAGAAAAGTCTCTAATTATCAATAGCCTGATGGTTAGCATATTTATTAATAACAGTAACTTGTTTAAAATTACTCATTTTAAACAAGTAACTATTATTAATAAATATGCTAACCAACAGGCTACTGATGGATAAAAGAGAAATCAGAGGCTGAATATAAACTAGAATCTATCATCTCTTCTCTTGAATCCCTGAAGTATCATGGGTGGAGACCTGAAAAGAATACCCAGAAGCCTAAAGGACCGGTCGCCATCCGGCTTCCGCTCCTTAGTTCTCAGCCATTTGCCCCTGGGTAAGTCGCCTCACCTCCGACTGTTAGACTAGACCAGTGGTTTCCAAACTATGTTCCCCAGTGTTCAGAGAGCCTGAAGTTCCTCCAGGAAGGCTCACAAGGCAAGGCTAACACCAACCACATATTCCTGCCAGCTTCAATCCGAATATCCCCCTCTATCATCTCATGTATGGGGGCCCTGCACAAGTTCGATTTGTAAAAGGGTTTCTGTGACTGAAAAGAACATCTGGAAAGTTCTAGATTGGGTATTTGCCAAGTTCCAAGGCGAGCCTCATTGGGGAGCACTCTGGTTCAGAACACCCAAGTTAGAGAGTGGCAGAGGGAGCTCAGGGGTCACAGATGGTGGTGGAAGCAGGGCTTACCTGTGATTCTGCCCACTGTTCCTTTCACAAAGTTGCCAGCGTACCCAGCCACATGGGCTCCGAGGCTATAGCCAATCAAGTGAACATTTCTTAGAGAAAAATCATCCTTCTCCTGCAGGAAGTCACCAAAGAGTGTGAGATGAAGAATGTGATCCTGAGCCCCCAGTTCCACCCACCATTCAACAAGTCCTTCAGGATGGAGGAGGGGCCATGGGCACAGAGACTCCCCAGGGCATCAGTGGCATTGCTGAACATGCAACACACATGACTCACAGCCAAGGACGGGGAGGTCACAAGGACTTGGTGGCACTTCAAATGCCGAAGGGGCAGAGCAGAGGATGTGACTATAGGCTCCATATCTGACCCTTCCCCTAAATGTTCCCTACATGTTTTCTATTCTATTTGGCAGTATGAGGGGGCAGAGGGAGAGAACAGGATGGATGAAGGTCAAAGCCACCATACTCATTAGAAACTGACATGCCAGCCACAGCCTGCAGCGGATTGCTCTCTGCCTGCCCTCATAAGGCCTTGACCTCCACCCTGGGCCCGGGAGCTGCGGGCATCCTCACCGCAAGCCCACATGTGAAGTCAGAATTGTAACATGGTTCCCTTCCAGAGCACTCAACTGTGAGGGAGTGAGGAGACAGGGAACTGACCCCATGGCTCAGGGACCCAACTCTCTCAAACAGTTGTGGCAGAGCAGAGTTGGACTGCTCAAGAATCTTGCCCAGAATTCTGCTAGAGTTCCAGAAAAACCAGGCTGGAATTGCCCAGATCCTATGTACCCCTGTCTCTCCTGCCCTGGTTAAGTCCACTGGTCTCAAGCAAATCATTAACCTATAAAAAGTAAACACAGGACCTCAGGATCTGTTTTCCAGACTAAATATTTTTAATGAGGTATTAGGCGGCATTTGTTTGAACAAACCTCCTTCCCACCCTAAGCACCGCCATGCTTCAGAGGCAAGAGCAGACTTCAAAAGTTATTTGAAATTACAAACCTGACTGGCTCCTGGCCATTCCCAATAAACCAACAGTATCAGCTTCTAAGATCAGCAAGTAACTAGCCATAAGGCAAATTTTCTTACAACAAATAAAGTCACAGGAAAAATCTAGAGATCTATCAATAATTAAAAGGCTCTCTGAAAGTTCAGGCTTTCAAATATTTCAAATAATACTGAATTCAGCAAAAATTTTAATCTCTATTTTTTTATTGCTTTGTTTTTATTTTATTTTTTTATTTTTGGTATAGTTTGTTGTTTGTTTTGTATCGGGGATTACATTGAAGGGCACTTTACCACTGAGCTACAGTTCCAGCCCTTTTTATTTTATTTTATTTTTTTTTTATCTCGAGACAGGGTCTCATTAAGTTGCCCAGGCCGGCCTCAAATGTGCAATACTCCCGCCTCAGCCTCCCTTGTAGGTGGGATTACAGGCATGTGACACCCTGCCTGGCTAATCCCAATGCATTTGATCAGAATCTGGAAATTCATGGTAAAGTATGGCCTGTATTTCCTAAGGCCATTCAGATTTAAGATCCTGCTGGGGAGAGGTAATGACTGCTTTCGTCCTTTCACTCCCGGTTACCTGCAGCCAGTCGAGCATCCTTGCCACACTGTGACCCACCATCCTTGTGTTATTGACAGCATCTCTGTAAAGCTGGTGAGCCAGGGGCAGCCAGTCAACTACCACTACATTGGCGTCTTTCTCTCTCATCTGCAGGGCTGACACGAGTTTGTACAGCCAGTTTGCAAGCATGCCACTCGTCTGCAAAGAAAATGGGGAACTTATTTTTATATATTCTTCTCCTGGGCTTCAAAACTCCCAACGAATACAGCATTCCATTGCTGACCCTCTCCCCATACGATTTTAGAGCCTTCACACTTACTGCTTAGGAACTAAACATCTGCACATGAGCACAGCCAATCAGAGGCAGAATTGCTACATGGGTGTTTTCTTTCATTGATCTTTACATCCCCAGATTTTCCTATCAAAACTTTCATAGGTGGTGTCCTATGTAGCTGCCTCCCACTGTAGGTTGGTAGTGTTACAAGCATGAAGTCCCTGTCACACAGGCAAGTGGCCTGCTCCATCCTTCAAAGACAGCCCGGAAGGGTTGCCTTGGAGAATTAGCTACTCCCTTAGAGATGCAGGGAGATGCTGCCTCCTAGGCAAACACGGAGTTAACAAATGACCCCTTCCCACAACCTATCTCTGCCATCTCTTTTGACCCCAAAGTAGTGAAAATCCATCCCTGGAATTCCAAATTAGAATCCAGAACACATTTTCCCACAGAAACCAAGTTATAAATGGTGACTGAACCCTATCTACAAGTACATTATCAAATAAATAGATTTTCTGTGCCTAGCCTGGGAACCCAAACACGATTTACAATCTTGCTTCTATGGGAAACGGCTGTTCCAAGTTCCAAACACATTATAAAAGAACTTTCTGGAATGCACTCCATTTGTAAGTCACAGGCAGTTTGTATTTGCATTTTGACAGGAAAGACTTAAAAAGGTTCAAACACATGATTTCAATCGGAGGCTGCAGGATGAGGACAGACGGACAAGCCTTTAATCAACCCTTTCCTCACATTAGGTAGGTAGACACCAACCCTTCCTGCCCTTGACCCCATCGCAACTGTTGGTGTTCGACCTAAACACCCAGAAAGAATGTTAACAGATATGAATTTCTTATCATTAAGTGGAAGAATGTCCCCTCGCAATTAGCCCAGGCAGAAACCTGCTCACTTAATAGTGCCATTTTCCTATAGACTGTCATTGCATGAATGAATAAATCCCTCACTGGCCAAGGGCTTCTGAAGCTGAGCGTCAAAGCCCTTTTTTGTTGAGGTTTGTCATGGGCCTTTCAATGGGAATTGCTCAGCTAGGGCACATAAAGAGCCCCAGTGCCTTTAAGCGGGCCCATCTCTCTGCAAATACAAGGGCGCCATGCCAAAGGCAGCCAGCCAGCCAGGCCAGCTGGCCCTCACAGACTCTGAGCTAGTCAAGTTGCTTCAGTTCAGCTCAGCCCTAGCTGAGCAGGACGGCCCCCTCCAGGCAGTGGTTGACCAATGTAATTAAGTGCAATTAGAGGGTCCTTCAGAGCCAGTGGAGCTGGGCTGCTGCCCTCAGGAGACCCACTTTCTGAAAGCCTGTTGTGTGCCAGCACTAAATACCGCCCTGCTGGAGTCCACATGGCCCCCTCAGCAAAGTGCCCATTACATTCTTCACAGCTGTCTGAAATACAAGCAGCCCACAAGGAAAGAGGGGGAGAGGGTTTAGAATCGGGAAGGACCAGTATTCTTTTTAATTGACCAAAACAAAAGGAACCAAATCTGTGTAAAACCACAGAGCTCCCTCCTCAGGCTCACCGTCCATCCATGAATGATGAAAAAGGTTTTGGCTGTCACGTCGAAGCCACAGTCTTCTAAAGACTGGTTGTGGCCCGGGGAAAGATAGCATCCTTCATGCTCTGGGTCCTTAGAGGTGCGAAGGTTAAAACTCACAGACGGTTTGGACACAGCTTGGACCTTCCTGGACTCGTGAAGTTCACCTGGGGAGAAAGAGTAGCATAGATGCTTCTGGTGGCTTGGGTAGTGAGAGAGCTAGGGTCTGATTCTAATTCCATCTTGAGCAAATTACTGAAGCCATTTGGGTTTCACCCTTCAAGAGAATTGTGAAGATAAAGGGACCTCTCATCTATATGCAATCAGTATTAATTAGTCACTGTCATTAATGACTTTGCTCTGAATAAATGGGTGCTTCTGCTTTTCTCTCTTCTTGCCTACTGAAATAACTTCTTCTTTCCCTCAAGTTCTACTTTTAAAGCATGAATCCTCAATTCTTTTCCTGAAATGCTTAGGTCCAGTTAAGGTTCAGAACTCAGAAATTTGCGCATTTTAGGAAAGCATTATAGAACATATACCATTTACTATATAACACTACCAGTGGGGTCTGGGGAATCCCTCATGAATCAAAGACACTGATATTTCTGCAGAAAAATATAGGAGTGCTCACATTTAATGGCAGAAATAAACATTATAAGTAGCCTTCTGCCTTCTCAGGTCAGGCTTTGCTGCCAAAGGAGTTCAGATCAGGTAAGGCTAGGTTTTGCTGACAAACAAGTTCCCAACAAATTTTCCCATTTTGAGAGATATTGGATTTTGCAATTAGAGTTCAGAGGCTATTGACCAGTGGTGGTACAGTGGGCTTTTCCCTGTGTTCCCAATTCTATTCCAGCACTTACTTCAAAGACCTCATGCATCCTCAGAGCCCTGTGCAGTACCAACAGGCATCAGGCATTCAGCTTGTTGGTTATATAAAGGATTGAAGCTGCACCCCTCCAGCTGCACTGCTTGCACACAGTGCCCCATAGGCAATGGCCCTGCTCCACAAAGTTCAGCCTGCTCCACTGATGGTCCCTGTATAGGTAGTCACTGTCACCCCAACACTATTCCCAATGATCATTAATGGACCCCCACCAGCACTCTTTCAGTCATCCTGGTAAGCATCACTTGCTAACTACTTAGGAGATCAAACTCTCCTGTCATCTACAATCGGGGAAATACTAAATGACCACCCAGGAGCTTGATTTATTGTAGAATTAAGAAGCAAAAGACGCTGAGCATGGTAGCATATGCCTCTAATACCAGCTACTTGGGAGACTGAGGCAGAAGGATCACAAGTTCAAACCCAGCCTTGACAGCTTAGCAAAACTCCATCTCAAAATAAAATGAAAAAGGCTGGGGATGTAGCTCAGTGGTAGAGCACTCCCTTAACATGTACATGGCCCTGTGTTTAAACCCAGTTACCCACCCACCCCCAAAATAAAAAGAAGGAAGCAAAAGAAATTATGGAAAAACATATTATAGTTGAAGGGGTGGTGGGTGTTAAATTGGGGCAAAGGAACAGAAGGTGGAAAGAAATATACCAGATGAAAAGGGGATAATGTTCTGTAAAATATAGCACATGAGCAGAACCCAGGCTATCGTGAAAGTCATGAACAAAAGCTCCAACTGGCAGAAATTTGAACCCTGGACATAGTTTGACAGCTCCCCAACTTCCACCTGGATAGCCACTCACACAGAGAACAGATGGGAAGCCTAGAAGAAAAGAGGTCTACTGTCCCCTGAGACAGACTCACAGATAAGCACATGAGTGGATAAAATAAAGTTCACCTTGGTTTCCGGCTCGATCTGTGACCCCACAATACTCTATCTTCATTCCTGCTACTTTGGGCCAGGGTCACTTCAGTCCGTGGGACTTTATGACTGTTCTTCACCCTGGTGTCCTTGTGGCTCATTCTCTCACCTCCTTCAGCTCCTTTGCTCAAGGATCAATCAAGTTCTGGGTAACACCTTCCCTGAGCACAAATTAAAATCTCACCACCTTCCACCAGCAGCACTCTATAACGTCCCCTCTACTTTCTTTTCTTCCATAACCCTAAGCACCATATATATATTTTCATAAATGCACCATCTGTTTTCCCACCAATGACATGGAAGCTCCACTAGGACAGGGACTATAATCCTGTACTCTTTTTTGCTGTCAACTCTGCTCCTGAAAGAGTTCTTGGCACTAAGCAGGAAAGCAACAAATAGATTTCGAATGAATGGCATGGCCTCCAAATCATCAAAAGTCAGAATATAGGACCTGGAAGGAACTTCAGCGTTTCTCAGGAGACAAACTAGAGAGGGTCATGCTTCTAGTTAGCACTAGAGTTGGAAACCTGTTAGGCAAAGCAAACCTCCCCCATTCATTTCCATTAACAGCCCCATGCACATATAAGCCAACTCGGACCTCTGCAGACAAGTGGATGAAATGATGGGGCTGGGTTTGGGGATTTCCCAGCCTTTCTCTACTTAACTAAATGATAGTACTGGCTCCAAGTGACCCTACCCTCACTCCACCAGGCAGACTGCCTCCAATGGAACAGACTTCCATACAGAACTCAAAAGGAAGAAAAGCTAGAGTCTAGGAGAAGGCCCGGGAAGAGTGGGGAAAGAAAGAACTTTGGGGAGGAAGAGGCTGACAATCTGGAGGAGCTAGGACGCCAGGCAGCCTCTCAACCCAAGCCACCCACTAGATGCTCCCTGCAAGCACTAATCAAACCAAAGCCAGCTCCTCTGCCACCTTCACTTTCAAAACCCTGGGCCAAGGTTTAAAGGAGGAGCGCTGGAAGGCAGAGCTCTTTCCAACAACTTTTTTGCCTCTCAACCCTCCAGCTTCAAAGACAGGAAAAGGTTTTAGATCTGCCCACAGGCAATCGGGTGGCTGGACAGCACCGATTAAGGGACTCATACAGTGGAAGCAGGAGGGATGAGATAGGGCAAGACAGACAACACCCTGCCGGCCTGTTGCCTCCTCTTGACCTGCCAGGAGATGCCCTCATTAGAAGCGCTGAAGGACAAGTGGCTCCAGGTTGATGGGGAAGATGGACAGCGCTGTGGGGAAGCAAGGAGGATTTCGGAGGAACAAGGAGGAACCAAAGAAGGGCCGGCAAGACAGAGAGGACCCAGCACAGAAAAGAAGTGGGGCGTGGGTAATAAACATAGATGCACGTTACCTTCCAGCCGTCCCTCGGGACCAAAGGGTGTGGGGCTTCCCGCCGCAAAGCAACAATAGGCGCTCCAGAAGCAGAGTAAAGGAACCGAGTTCTTCATCCTTCCCTGCCACGCCCCCTCCCCTGAAACAGGGATTTCAAACAAAACACCACCACCTCCCGAGTCAGTAAGACCAAAAGTGGGCACCCTTCTCTCAGTCAGATTGATGGGCCAGAGAGAGCTGGAGGAGAAGGTGGAAATTGAAAACCTGGCTGCCCCGACGGCGGGCGGTGGGAAGGAAGGGCGAGGAGGGGCTTGCGGCAGAAGCCGACCTGCGCTCGCTCGGAGCTGTCGGGAAGCCGGGCTCGCCACTGTCACACCGAGAGCTCCTAGCGAGGTAGTTTTTTAAAGTATTGAAGTCATCTGACCCATCGCCAGATGGTTATTTGCATAATTTATTCCCAAATCTGGGCTCTGATTGGTCACGCCTTCGGTGACGCCCAAACCGAGACTCCCCAAAGTTTGAATGAAAGCGCCCGCACACCCACCGCGTGGACACTGGCACAAGTGGCCTTGCTTCCGCGGCCGCTCCGCAGGCTGCCGCGACTCCCGCCACCTCCGCTTCCCTGTAGTTTCTCTCGCAGACCCGTAGATCCTCCACTAGCCCTTCCGCCCTCCGAGGGGCACATTTCCCCGAAAACGTGCGCGCTCTGGGAACGTGATCCCAGGCGAACTAACAGAGAGTCGGGATTGGGGGGAAGCCACCATTTCCTCCCCTCCAGCCCGGAGAGTGCTGCAACAGGTGCAAACGTCGTGACTGGACTATAACCCCGCAGAGCTGGGGGACTGTGGGCTGTGACCCACGCTTCAAAGTCACACAAAACCTGCTCAGAGTACCTGGTTCCACCACTAGCTGCAAAACTCAGCCAGACACCCAGTTTCTCCAAGGCCATCCTGTCGTCCCCAGTACGCGGGTGACCGGTCCTGCCACTTCGGGATTTGGGGAAAATTGATAAGAGTTTAATGTTGGAAAGGCTTAGTGCGGCACCGGGAATGTGGTAGGCGCTCTCCTACACAGGGTGGAGGAGTAGAGGGATAGAGGGCGACCCTCCCCAAAGGGAAGAGTGAGCCTAACTTGATGGAGAGGGTCTTAGACGCGTGGCCCAGCCTCCGCTGCGCGCTGTCATTATCTGGTGAGTGGAATTGGACACTTTCTTCCTCTCTTTCCTCCATCATTTCCCCCCTCTTATCCTTCCCTTTTCACTGAGATCCCAAAGATGTTGGAATGAAACGGACAACCTTACCCCAGGTATATGTATGACTGCACATATGGTGCGACGCTACATCCTGCACAACGAGAGAAATGAAAAGTTGTGTCGCAATTGTGTATAATGAATCAAAGTGCATTTTGCTGTCATACAGACCTACTTAAAATTAATTAATTAATTATTTTTTAAAAAGTGGCCTGAGACTTTGGCCTGAAGTCTACGTCTGGAGCTTGGGACCTTGGCGGAGCCACCGCGTCTCAAAACCTGGGAGGACCCTGACCGCGCCGGGGAGCTGGAACGAACCAACGCATTTTCTGCGCACAATGTCCAGACTCCTTCCAACCGGGACAGCTGGCTCTGCAAGGCGGCACCCTTGACCGAGAGTAACCCTGCAGTCATGAGGAACAAGTCCCGCCCCTGCCAGAGGAGAAGAACCCCCGCAGCAGCCCCTTCCGTGGTGTCGACGCTCCAGTTTGAGAGTCGACAGTTTGAGGAAAACGATCCGGAGCAAGCAGGTCCTGTTCTGACCTATCCTAGTTATTTTGTTACTCCAGCTGCCATCCGAGCACGCTTTGTCCCTCCTGTGAGCTATCATCCATTAACAGGAGGCAAGCTGGCTGTATTTTGTTTTAAATATAAAACTCAATACTCTATATAGGATGTTAGTCATCCCCAGACTTGTCACTCTCATCCCCCGCCCGCCCTCGCTCTCCATTGACAAACTATGCTGACACAGATCAAGTGTTAGCTCCATTGTACAGATGCGAAAACCGGCACCGGGCGGGCTGCACAATTAAAGGAAATCTCGTAACAGGATCCCTCTTTTCTGCTCTAGGTTTGATTTGGCCAGTTGACCTCTAAATATGAGCCGCTGGCAGCCTTATCTCCATCTCCTTAATGGTTGAGGCAGGGAGTAAACTACGATTAAAAAATTCTTGCCCATAGAGGTGGTGCACCCTTGTGGCTCAGGAGGCTGAGGCAGGAGGATCACAAATTCAGGGCCAGTCTTAGCAACATAGCAAGACCCTGTCTCAAAAATAAAAATAAATAAACAGGACTGAGGATGTAGCTCAGTAGTAAAGCACCTCTGGGTTCGATCCCCAGCAAACAAAATAAATAAATATAAAAAATTAAAAATCCTCCTTAGCCCAGCAAGCTCAGCTACTCTGGGGATGAGGCAGGGTTGGTAGAGCCCAAAAGTTCAGAGCAGCCTGGGCAACATAGTAAGACACCTTATCAAGGAAAAAAGGAAAATCCCCTTTCCTGTTGAGTTGTTCATAGCCATTGTCCCAATAATATCAATTGGACAATATGGAGGGTGTGTCTTGGAGACCTTTGTCACAAGTGAGATATTCTGGGAGAGGCGGGTATTGCTACAAAAATTGACTATCCTGTCTCAGGGAAAAAACAAGATCAACAAATCAATGCCCATTTTTTAACTTCCCAGGCTATGAAACCAGTTGTTTTATTGCTGGTTGGTTAGAGTGCCCCCCTGTGTCTCCATATTAAAATATCATGTAAGAAATTCCAAAGGACAATGAAATTTTAATAGTAGCATTCAAATGTATATCATCAACTCCTGTTCCCCATACTTCCCAGAAAACCCACAAGGAGATCTAGGAGCCTTCTACATGAAGGAATTTTCAACTGAGGAGTCTGGTGGAAACTTCAGTTGTGTCTTAGCCAGAATTGCAAGGTCAGGACTAGCATGGTAAGAACTCTAGTCACTTCCTTTTGGCCGCCCATCTTCGAAAAGGCTCTTCCTATGTTACGGCTGTGAATCTCCCTTGTATGGAAAGAGCCCACTTTGCACTACAGAAGCTAAAAACCAAACCCTCACCTCCCCAACCTCCCTTACAGCTGGTTCCCAATTGAAACTCAGGCAATAGCAGGCAGCCAGGTCTGCTCCTCTGGCTGGATAGTTTAGGGGCACTGCTCTCTGCTTCAGTGAGTCCTCCAAGCCTGGGTCTTCTGTCCTGCAGAGACTCCAAATGCCACCCAATATTTTATTAATGAGTTCATCTTTAGTCTTAACTCTCCAGAAACCACTTGTATTACTTACAACTAAAAAAAAAAAAAAAACTGACTTAATCATCAGATGTTTATTGAGCAGCCATCCAGAAGAAACACCGGATTTGAATGCCCCGAGGCATTTGTTAATCTCATGGGCTCTAAACCTTGAAAGCCATCTTTATGTCATTCTCTAATATTTATCTCCAGCTTAAACCCTCTCCCTAAACTGCAGACGTGATAATGATCTTAGTTACCAAAACGGATCTCAAATATGCTACATTCGAAACTGAGTCCCCAACTCGCCCCTCCAAAGCTACTCCTGCCTCAATCTTCCCGATCTTAATAAGTGGCAAATTAATCCTCCTAGACATTCCAGCCAACAACTGACGTCAGATTTTACTTCTCCCATTTTTTTCTTATCCCAAATCCCAAATCCAACAAATCCCAGTGGCTCCTCCTTCAAGACTAGTCCAGAATCTGAACACCTCCACAGCATCCACCCGAGTCCAACCCCAGCATATGTCACCTGATATAAACCAGCTGACATACCCTCCAGTGTCACCTCATCTCATTCATAGTCCCTGACTCTACAAAACCTCCGCTTCACCTCTCTGACATGAATGCACCCTACTCTCCCCCAACTCAGATCCCTCCCACACCCCACATGTTCCCACTGCAGGCCTTCTATGCTATTTCCTCTATTGATCACTCAGATACTAACATGTGGCCCGCTCTCTCATTCCTTCAGGTCTTTGCTCAAGTGTCACTGTCTCCATGGAGGTTCCCTGAACACCATATTTAAAGTTGCAAACCCCCACTCTCAGCACTATTTCCAGCCCGTTAATTTTCTCTGTAACTTACCACCATCTGACATACTCTATAGCTTAACTATTTGTTTACAGTGTGCCTTCCCCCACTAAGATAAAGGGAATTTTTGTCTATTTTGATCATTGCTGTATACCCAGCACCAGGACTTAATATATATTTGTTAAATAAATGCACGATAAATTTTCAAACTCTAAACTTTCTCAAAGCCCCCAAAAAGCATCAAAATTCTTTTTTTACAATACTCAGGAATAAAACCGATACCAAAAAGAAACAAAAAATAAATTTAAAAGAAACTGATACCAAATCTGACAAGATTGAAATAAAGCTGTCCCTCTCCTCAGACTATATCCAAAGGACTTGAAAACAGCATACTGCAGGGACACAGCCACATCAATGTTTATAGCAGCACAATTCACAATAGCTAAACTGTGGAACCAACCTAGATGCCCTTCAGTAGATGAATGGATTAAAAAATGTGGCATATACACACATTGGAATATTACTCAGCATAAAAGAGAATAAAACCATGGCATTTTCAGGAAAATGATGGAGTTGGAGAAGATAATGTTAAGTGAAGTTAGCCAATCCCAAAAAACCAAATGCATAATGTTTTCTTTGATATAAGGAGGCTGATTCATAGTGAAATAGGGAACAGGAGCATGGGAGGAATAGACGGACTCTAGATAGGGCAGAGGGATTAGAGGGGAAGGGAGGGAACATGGGGTAATTAATGATGTGGAATGTAATGATCATTATTATCCAAATTACAGGTATAAAGACAGGAATTGGTGTGAATATACTATGTATACAACCAGAGATATGAAAAATTGTGCTCTATATATGTAATAATAATTCTAATACATTCTGCTGTCATATATTAATTTAAAAAAATAAATTAAAAAAGAAGAAAACTATAAACCAGTTTCATTTCAAGCATTTTACATAAAATATTAACAAATAAAATTCATGAGTGCATTCAAAGTACAACCCCAGCTATTGTGATACATACAATCAGTTCAGAAATGCAAGGAAGCATGGCCCCAAATGAGGAAATCTATAAATATAATTTGCCAAAAGTCAACAGCAAAAAAAGTTATTTCAATAGGTGTTTGAAAAGAATTTAAAACAACATAATTCAATAACAAGGATGATTACATGCTGAATATACAAAAGTTTCTATTTTTCCAATATCAGAGGTAAGGGCTCTCTAAGCAAGATAGAATAGAGGCAATAAAAGAAACAATAGCTGAGTGTGGTGGCACTCTCCTGTAATCTTAATGGTTTGG